ACACACACACATTCAGACATCTGTCTCTGTGTTACTGTCTGTTCAAGGTTGAAGAATGAGCAGATTAGACTGATTAAAGGAATAGTTCACCCAGAAACAAAAATTAATTGCAGCACCCTGTAATTAATTAGATTAAAAAATTTGAATCCACTGACGGCCCTAGTATTTATATATACATAATAAATAAACACAGTACACATACATGTATTATGTAAGCAAAAACTTTTATGTTGGATGCGAATCATGTGATTATTCGCGATTAATCGTTTGACAGCACTATTTAAAATGTAATGTATTCCTGTGATGCAAAACTGCATTTTTAGCATCATTACTCCAGTCTTCAGTGTCACTGAATCATTCTAATATGCTGATTTCCTGCTCAAGAAACATTTCTTATTGTGCTGATTAAGATTTTTGTGGAAACTGGGATTGCACTACCATTTTAAAAGGATATTTTTTTAAAGAAAGTAATGCTTTTATTCAGTTAGAAAGAGACTAAAGGCATTTATAATGTTACAAAAGGTATCATATTTCTACGCATCAAGAAAATCTTGCTCAAGATGCATTTCTTACTGTTATTAATGTCGAAAATAGTTGTGTTGCTTAATATTTTTGTGGAAACTTTTTTTTGTTTTGTTTTGAGACTCTTCTATAAATAGAAAGTTCAAAAGAACAGCATTTATTTTAAAATAGAAAATCTTTTGTAACATTATACAAGTCATTACTGTCATTTTTTATCAATTTAATGCATCCTTGCTGAAGTATTAATTTTTAAAAAAATATATATTGTACTGACCTTTTGAACGGTGGTATAAATATACTCATATTTAATGCATATTTAACTCATATTTAATTCAGTACAATTAAAAATGTATTTATTGATTCATCAATCTGTTAAACGTAATTAAAAATGGATATTTTCATCCAATATGTGTGCCTGTGTTCCAAAGCAATTACTTATTAGGACTTTAGGATTTGAACTATAGCGTTCTGCCTTTTGTAAACAGCAAGGATTGGCCCGCTAGGTTTTGGAGCAGAGCAGCTTTCTGTGGACTACAAAACAGTCACTATACGAGCTGTGAGTGTGTAAGTGTGTGTGTGAGATTGTGCATTTGTTTTGTGTCCATAGGCAGAGTGGTTTGTAGATTATTGTAACACTGAATTGAGAAAGAGAACATGTTTTACCCTGGAGAAAGAGGTGGGCCATGACTAAAACAGCTTTGAAGGATTACAGCATTGAAAAAGTCGTATTGTAGAAAGAAAACATGAGCAATGGTGTATAGACAGATGTTTTCTTTTTCACTAATCTTTGGGGGCTTGGGGAGGGATGAAAACAAGGGCTTTAGCACAAACAGCAGAACAGCAATCTCTCACACACACACACACACACACACACACACACACACACACACACACATTCAGACGTCTGTCTCTGTGTTACTGTCTGTTCAAGGTTGAAGAATGAGCAGATTAGACTGATTAAAGGAATAGTTCACCCAAAAACAAACATTTGCAGAAATTGTACTCACTCTCAGGCCATCCAAGATGTTGATGAGCTTGTTTCTTCATGGGAACAGATTTGGAAAGATTTAGCATTGCATCACTTGCTCACCAATTGATCCTCTGCGGTGAATGGGTGCCATCAGAATGAGAGTCTAAACAGCTGATAAAAACATCACAATAATCCACACCACTCCAGTCCATCAGTTAATGTCTTGTAAAGTAAAAAGCTGCATGTTTGTTAGAAACAAATCCACCATTAAGACGTTTTAACTTTAAACCATTGCTTTGAGTTCAAATATGACTTCATAATCCATAATATTGCTTCCTCCAGTTATCTCATCTGAATCAGGAAGAAAAGAGATCAACACAGATCAAGCACTGTTTACAAGAAAAAACGATCCAAGCCAGTTCATAAATATGTTTGTGGATTTTGCTGTGAGAGAGAACAGGGGATGGACTTTTTCACTGGAGGAAGCGTTATTATGGATTATGGACTCATATTTTGTCTAGAAGCGATGGTTTAAAGTTAAAACGCCTTAATTATGAATTTGTTTCTGACAAACGTGCAGCTTTTCACTTCACAAGACATTAACTGATGGACTGGAGTGGTGTGGATTACTTGTGGATTATTGTGATGTTTTTATCAGCTATTTGGACTCCTTCTGACGGCACCCATTCACTGCAGAGGATCCATTGCTGAGACACTGATGCAATGCTACATTTCTCCAAAATGTATCTGATGAATAAACTAACTCATCTTTGATAACCTGAGGGTGAGTACATTTCACACACATTTTCATTTTCATGTGGACTATTCCTTTAATGTTGTGAGCTTTCATCTGCGTGTCTTTGTATAACCGTACAGTATTTCATCTGTTTGTAATCAAATGAATGTCCTTCACCACTCATTCAACGCAAACACTCACAACTCATCAACACAGTTGTCTGTAAATACTCCTTATTGCCTTTCAGCAGTGATCCCTCAATAGACTCATTACTATTTCAGAAACACATTGCACCACAATCGATACATTTCCATTAGCGTGATGGACGACTATTTTTCAAATGCTCTCCTGTCTCAGTAGAATCACAGGACGGCGTTTATGAGACACAGAAGTGTCATGACTAATGCTTTAGTCTTGATACGACGTCTGTCTTCCTGGAATTTCAGACCATTTAACTCCAGCCGATTATTCACATTCAGACACACTGCAGAGCTATTATTTTCACGTTAAAGCCTTGATGAATTCATGTGGTAATGTCGCATGTGAAAGGAGAACGGAGGAAGATGGCTACAGTAATTTTCCATCTCTTTCAGACGTTCTGAAGGCCTGTTCATCCCTCTCCGTCACTGACAATGCCAGGCTCAATCTCCTGTAATTCATCATTCATATTGACTTACAGGACTTCTCAGAGGACACAAACTGCAGCCAAAGCAGGAAGCAATCCAGCAGATATGAATACCTGAATTCATAAAAAGACAAGGAACCTTTAAAACATGCTAATTTTATGCATCCCACATGCTCCATTACTTAAATATGAAAACGCACAAACAGCCTGCTATAGTTTGTATATAAACATTCATTCACAACATGAATCCTGTGAGAATCTTCTCAAACAAATGCAAATCTGCTCATGCTAGCACTTCTAGATAGTAGGTGTATCCACATTTAAGAAGCTCCTAATTAATGTCAGCATCAAAACAGTAGCCAATGGCTATATTAGAAACAGCATAGACCTAAAGCTATACTACTCATACTATGCAGTATAAACACTTGGTACATGCAGATTTTTCTTTTCTTTTGTAAGAATATAATATATGGAATACTAAATCTGCTAGAATGTACAGTATAAATAGCACAGGGAGAGGAATACTACATTCCACAATATAATGTAATTGTTGTAAATGTTGATAGAACTAATAATTGCCTCTATTAATAATCTCTTTGATTCATTATATGTAAAGGTTTCACACAAAATGAGAAAAACAATTCTTTCTGAGAATAAAAATGATTTATTATCTATTAATGATTATTTAAAATGACAATATATTATTTAAAATTATTCAAAATATTAGATATAATATTAAATTATTTTAATTTTGAATCAATATATATGCATATATTAATACAATTAGTAATTTCACACACACACACACACATATAATACATTTTTAAATGTTTAATAATTATATATCTATATTTTTTAGTGCTGTCAAACGGTTAATCGTGATTAATCACATCCTAAATAAAAGTTTTTGTGTACATAATATAGCCTATGTGTGTGTGTGTATTGTGTATATTTATTATGTATACTGTATATAAATACACACTCATACATACTCATGTATTTACATGTATATATTTATATAATGTATATATTATATATAAATATATTTAATATACAAATATAACATGTTTTTCTTAAATATATACGTGCATGTGTATGCATTTATATATATATACATAATAAATATACACAGTACACACACATATATTATGTAAACAAAAACTTTTATTTTGGATGCGATTAATCGTTTGACAGGACAAATTTAATTCTTATATATATATATATATTTATTTATTTTTATTTATTTAGTTATTTAGCAGACGCTTTTATCCAAAGCGACTTACAAATGAGGACAATAAAAGCAGTCAAAACTAACAAAAGAGCAACAATATATAAGTGCAAATGACAAGTCTCACACATATATATACACATATATATACACATACACACATATACATATATATACATATACATACACAAACAAACACACATATACAATACATATACACATATACACACACACATACATACAAACAAACACACATATACATATATATATATATATATATACATATACATACATATACACATATACACACATACATGCATACAAACAAACATATATATATATATATATATATATATATATATATATATATATATATATATATATATACACATA